AAATATATGCAAGATTCTGCTTCAACGTCCTCTGATAGTGCCCATTAGCAATTTGTAAATATGTTGGTTGATGTTGATAGAAATCAGGCCACAAACTGGTACCCAAATCCCTGTCCCAAACCCTTTGCTGATACTTTTTCAAAATCTTGTATCTGAAATAGGGTCAAGCGTGAGCTTGAAATCTTTCTGCAACTGAAATATCTGTAGATATGCTGCTGGTTGCCATAGATTAGAATCACACGCTTTTATCAAAAGCAAAAACTGTAATTTATATATAACAGTATTTATATATAGATACCATAAGATGCTTTGTACAGATAAGTACTTATATCAAAACATTTGTATCCTACTTCTCTTTAAAAACAATAGTGCATAATCAATTACAATAGAATGAAAAACAACAACAAACCCACATCTTTTAAAAGAGTGTCTTTGTAAACTAAGTCCTAAATCTGGACCTATATTTTCATTTTCAGATCCTAATAATTAAAACTAGGCTGTTATCTATCTCAATATTCCATGTGAGTAATGATTGTGTATGTGTGTGCATATACACATGAATCAGTTTTAGGTTAAAAAAAATCTCTTTCACCAAAGTATGCATGAATTATAATTACCCTCTCACTTTCTATATGCTTACTTAAAGGAAGGTACATGGGCTCTAATATTTCTCCCACGCTGATGTATTAATTCTTTGGATTATTCTTATTCTTATTCTTATTATTATTATTCATGATTGCTTCTATATAAACTAAATAGAGAAACATTTGTCCCTCATATTTTTTAAAATAAATAGAAATAGTGCTGATTAATAAGAATTTTAAAAAGTTTTAACACACACACACACACACAATTTATTCCTTGGCACAGTTTAATATCTATACTTCTCAAGACAAGAAGTCACACTAAATTCACACAAATGTATTTTGTTCTGGTTATTTGTTTGCTATATGGTAACAACAGTTGGAATAGTTACTCTAACCTTCCTTCCCTCATTTACTCTTCCATTAAAGTTGCATGCTTTATTTAAATAATTGTAATGCTGCATATTCAACAATTCTTTCAGGAAGATTAATTTACCTTCTGCTAAGACTTCTTTGATATATTTTTTTAAAACGTCACCATTCAATATGTTGCATCTTCCATTTCCCTCTGACTCCCTCAAATAACTGTGAGAGTCATCTTGCTGACATGAAATAACTTCCAGATCATTTTATCACAGGAAAAACTCTGGCAATATTGTTCCTAATCCAAAGTACAGTCCTCTCTTCTTTCAAAATAACAACCCTGTAGTCTGGTCCCGATTATTCACTCACAGTGCAGAAACAGAAAGATTTTTCTAACTTTTTGGTTGAAGCTAGTAATAAACGGATCAGTCCATTATGGAAAAAAGAAAAGGGGATGCCTATTGCTTAAGGTGAGACAGTACCATTTGTCTACATTTACCTAAGTAGCATGTAGTAATTTTAGTAGAACTGTTCAGAACATTGCTTCTGAATGTTCCTGCTGAAGCTAGGACCTTGGGGACTTGGTTTCCTTCTACTATCAAACAAAGCAAAGGATCAATTCTTCTCAAAGCAGATAAACTGTATTTTGTGTGTTAATGAGTTGATATGTATTATAACATATATCTAAATCTCTTCTGTTCACGTTAAAGAGTCCTTACATTTATAACTGATTTTTAAAAAGTGCCTTTAATTCAGGAGTGTCAAACTGCTGGCCCACAGACCGGATGCAACATAGCGAAACTGTGCCCATGGCTATGGCAAAAAGTCACGATACGTTGAGTTTGACACCCCTGCTTTAATTCAATTATCTTGATAAGATTCCTATTAAGCTATATTGCAACATTATGTGAGCAGAATATTTAACAGCAAATACCTAATTAACATATTTCTCTATGTATACTGTGCATACTATGTTTATTGTGTAGATATAATTTGGGTTTTGCAACTGGTCTTTGAAAACTTTGTATGATGTATTTATTTTTATTAAGTGTTTAATGCCAACTTTCCCTGGCAAGTAGTTAGCTCAACTTTATTACTAAATCTGCAATCTAAGTGGCTTAGCAACCAGGTTGAATTAATTGTAATTTCAGATTTGGCAGCTTAATTCTTTTTCAGTGAGATTTCATTCCTTAAGGGAAAAATACTGATATAATTCTAATTAGTCAAATTTTAGTAGAAAAGATAGACAGATATAAATGTAGTGTGTAACATCTGTCAAGTATCTTTCCTGAACTGAAAACAAGTGATATAACTGGACAGCCATTTGTCTGAAATGGTATAGGGTTTCCTGCCTGAGCAGGGGGTTGAACTAGATGACCTCCAAGGTCCCTTCCAACTTTATTATTATTATTATTATTATTATTATTATTATTATTATTATTATTACCACTACTACAACTACTACTACTACTACTACTAATATTACTACTACTACTCCCCATGTGGTCTTAAAAAACCAATTTTAAGTTTAAAGCTACTAAAAGAATCAGATACAGAATTCACCATCTATAGTGACTATAGCGGCTCCAAAGACAGTTTTGTGCATACAAGTAGTCCTCGATTTACAACAGTTCACTTAGTGACTGTCTGAAGTTACAACAGCACTAAAAAGTGATTTATTAACATATTTCACCTTCATGACCGTTGTGGCATCCCCATGGTCACAGGATTTACATTTGGACGGTTGACAACTGACTTATATTTATGACAACTGCAGTGTCCCAGAGTCATGTGATCTCCTTTTGTGACCTTCTGAAAAGCAAAATCAATCTGGGAAACCAGATTCACTTAACACCATGCTACTAATTTAAGAACTGCACTGATTCACTTAACAAATGTTCTTAGCAACATAGATTTTGGACTAAATTGTGGTTGTAAGTTGAGAACTACCTGTAATGTTGGCATTTGAACCCTTGCTCCTTCATGGGTACCCATGCTATCTGTGAGGGACAATGGCCTGGGATTGGATTCTTGAAAATGATAATGGACACAGCTAAGACTGGCATATCTATAACTCCTTGTTCTCTCCCACATCCAAAACAGAAATCTGACCTAGCAGGTCTTATCTTGCACAAGATTATCTACTTGTTGCACAAAGTTGGACTGACAGATCAAGGTTCTTTTTTTGGCAAAGAAATGGCTGTTTATAAAGAAAATTTCTACTCCCCAGATTGTCAGAAGATGAGTCAGAAATAAACTTGTTGCTATGTTATGTACCTTAAAATAAATTCATTCATTCATTCATTCTCTCTCTCTCTCTCTCTCTCTCTCTCTCTCTCTCTCTCTCTCTCTCTCTCTCTCTCTCTCTCTCTCTCGTTTGTGTGAGGTATGGAACATTTTAATAAGCATCTCTCAATTTTATTCCACTCACTATGATGTTTGACTGTCTTGAATAAGAATATTCTGTTTCAATCAAAATTCCCTCTGTGATTCATTACCCTAATACCTATCTCTTTTTTGCTCCCCATCATGGCATTTTGCGCAATAAATAAAAACCATTTTTGATGGCAGCTGATTCCTGACCATTTTTGTAATGAAACAATGTTCTAGATAAACAAATCAGAATGTGAGCATCACAGAGGCCCAGAATTACAATGAAGTGAACTCAAGTCCTTCAGCTCTACTCCCAGGAAAAAAAAATTTGTTCCAAACATTTGGCCAAAGTTGATCCACACCCTTTACATTTATCTTCAAAATTCCTTACAAAATTACAATTCTTTATACAAGACTTGGATCCAAATAAAGTAAGAAATGACTTTTCCAAACTTTCCAGTTGTCAGATGATGGTATTTTCCAATATACCAAAAAAGGAGAGACTATTTTTAATGGTGGCCCTTTGACTGGGGAATGTATTCCCAATGGAAACACAATTGACTTCTTTTCAACTTCAGGTTAAAAACCTAGGCAGTTTAAATTAGTTTATTTCTATTGACTGATGTATGTTTTATGACTTCTATACTGTTTTGGCATTTTAAAACATTTTGCTAAACATTTAGAACCTATTAAAATATATATTCACATTAAGTCTAAGAGTTAATCAATTTAAAAATGCAAATTATTTCAGCAGCCTTCCTCTACGTCTCAAAACAAAATTGTACATTTTCTGAAGTAAAGCAATTCTTGTTTGTATTATATTTAAAAGTACTATTATGAAAAAATTGGGGGTTAGTTATAGTCTCTATCCATAGAATTACTTCTTTACAAAATCTAGTGCTGCCCTCTGGTGTTTACTTCCTACTTTTATAGTACTCCTTACTATAAGTGAAATGAAATACTATATGTTTATAACAAAACTTACCATGGAGTCTTAAATAATATATACCGAGGAAAGATTTTTAAAATACACAAAGTTAGACAAATACTTAAAATAATAAGTAGCCAAAAATTGAAAATATTCAAACATCATAAAATGTCACATAGTATCTCCATTTTGCTGTAGTAAAGCCTCATTTGTAAATTAATGGTAGAGTTTGGAAGATCAGGAATAGATGCTGGATTGCCCTACACAATAGTATTTCCTCCTCCTTCTTCTGCTCTATACTGAAAGATAAGTGTAATTAGGTAGTGATTGCTTTTGTTAACTTTAAATCTTACTATATATTTTTGTAACACATAATCCACCATAATTCAACCTACTAAACCTTATGAGGAAAATCTGGACTGTTTATATCCAGATGACCATACAAGTTAATGGAGAGTTACTTCATTATAATCTTGTATTACTCAAGATTCTTATAGGACATATATGTAAGCACAAGATATGCCAAAGATTTCTTCACTGTGTAAAGGCCTTGCTGCTCAGTGCTTCTGATGTCAAACAACATGTAGGTTTCCCCCCCAAAACATGAAGCCTGGTCATAGTCCATTTACATTAAATAATATGTACCTTTTGTTCCTATATAACATAAAAATACACATAAATCTATAGATATACATACATTTGTGAAATACATATATAACAAACAGCTACACATAAAGTTGCATATTACTTACTTCTAGGACTTTCCCAGTGATGAACTGGTGGCATGCTTCACATTTGACCCCAAAGAGAACTTGATAGTCCTTTTCACAGTAAGGGGCACCATCTCTGAATGTAACCCACAAGATACAAATTAGCTTCACTAATACTCTATAGAATACACATTATTTTACGTCCATTCCCTTCTTTGTCTTTGTCTTTTGGGTTGAACACAACAAAGGTATTAATAATGGTGCATAATAGCATTAAAGGCAGCTTCTTAGATTTCTCATCAGCTATGTCTCATCCTTCACTTATTACTATTGAACATAAACACATTTTTCACAATCAGAGAATGCAAACATTAAGTGTTAAATTATGGCAAAAAAAATATCCAGGTTTAAATTTTTTTCTTCAGCTAGTAAACTCATTAAGTAGCCATCTCTTGACCTAATTTAGCCCCAAAGGATGTTGTAATAACAATATGACAGAGAAGGAACAATAGCAAGTAAATGCATGCCTTTGACAAGTTTGTTCTCAGCAATCAGAGAACAGAATATCTTACTACATGTTCTGATGTGATGTCACATGGGGGATAACATAACACATGCGGGTGGGGGGGGGGTTTCTCCATGGTTCAGATGATGCTTCCCTTACAGGAGTAAGTTCTGAAGGGCAAAGAAATTATTCATACCTGAATAAAGGACATATATTTTGAGTCCTCTTTGCTCTTTATAACAGTAAAGGATTTAAATGCCAGTTGTTTAAAAACCCTTTCAAATATTTTATTTTCTATATGGACTTACTTGCTGATGTATTCTCCAGTTAGAACCTTCGCACAGGCCTTGCACTTGAAGCACCCAAGATGCCACTGCTTGTCCAAAGCAAGCAAGGCTTGTCCATTTTTTATATCTCTTCCACAGCCTGCACAATCTGCAAATAAACCAAGACATATATATCAGGTCACTCAATTTTACTGATCCATATTTACTTACTCCCAGATTAAACCACCTGTTATCATTTTAAAGCAACTCAACAAAAGAAGCTTTCTGAATGTTATATTGATTCATAAATATATTTTTATATATATATTTATATACATGCACATTATACATATACAATACATACATTTTTCTGTGTGTTTGTATGTGTGTGTCCTTACAGAAGGGTCTTCTATGAAAAGCAACTGACAGTTTTCTATCTATCATCTATGATGATTTTAATTTTATATGCTGGTTTAACAATAATAAATTATTTATTTTAATTTTCTATATAATTTCTGCAGTTTGATTTTGCTTTTCTGCATTTTCTGCATTTAATTTTGCATATAATTTCTAGAAATAAATATATTTTCCTAGGAGGTTAACAATCCTATTTTCCATCTCTCTCTCTCTACTAATTGATCTTTACACATTATCTCATTTCAATCCTCTGGGTGGCAGCAACATTCTAAATGTTTATATAAAAATAAAATAAGAGGGAAACATTAAAACTACCCAACATTTTATTATAATAAAATTGTGATATTAAACAGTTTCTTTAAATAGATTTCAGTACAGAATCAAGGGACTTCCTTTTCAATTACAAAGCATTTCTTTCCCTCGCAAATGAAGACAATTTTTTTCCTATCTAATGAAAATAAGCGACCAGGAAAGTAAATATGTGCATGTGTTATCTTTTAATATTTCATTTTTACAATTAATTAATATTTGCCTATTTCCCTGAGTTTTCTTGGAGGTTTCCTGTACAATACCAGGATTTCAAGACCACAGAAAGTTGACTAGGTACCTTAAACTGCTGATATATTCCATTTAAAAAAATCATATAATGGATCCAGAACATTATGCTTAGCGCAATATCAATATCAATGAGAATTAAATTGGGCATGTCTAACATGCCTCAGAGAATCACTGTGGTATAATAGTTAAGATGTCTGTCTGGAAACCAGATAATTTGTGAGTTCTACTCTCACTTTAGGCACAAAGCCAATTGGGTGATCTTGGGCCGGTCACTCTCACAACCCTAAGGAAGCAGGCAATGGCAAGCCATATATGAAATCTTGGCAAGAAAACTGCAGCAAGTAGTCCATTGTCTCTCTCACACCCACCTAACCACACATACACTCACCCATACACACACAAACATCTTGTCTCAGTGAATTCATTAAGTCTAATTATAAGCATTTTTAAATTTAATCCAATCAAGCTATAATGAATGTGGCACTAGATCTTGGATGTGTCAGTATCTGGATATTGTTACACTCCATCTCTCATAATATCTGCCTATTGGCTATCTTGCCTGTCAATGCTCAGCAGTACAGCATCTGTTTTGCATGCAGAAAGTCCAAAATTATTTCCTTGACATTTCGAGGGGGGGGGGGCTGGGAAAATTTCCATTCAAAACCTTAGAGAATCATTACCAGTTAATTAAGTCATAATCAATCCTGATAATTGACATAATCCAGTCAGATTCTGCTCCTACTAGAAGGGAGGCAGGCTCCCTACCTGTGGACCTACAAATAATTGTTGAATTATTTCTCTTATGCCACAATCTTCTTGCATTTTAATGCTGTTTTTAGCAGAAAAAATGTCAGACGTATTTTAAGTTGAATTGGATGTACCCTTAATCTTCATCAATTAGCACAGATCAGCTGTCCTCAAATGATCTTGATTCACAATATAAACTTTGAGTGGTCTATCTTTTAACTTACACAATTGCTGCAAGATAATTGCAACATTCCTAGTGCTCTCTTTCATATCAAATCAAGCAGCTATTCAACTGAATTCAAGTAGTCATTCAAAATAAAAAAAAATTAAGATTTGTGGTGTTTAATTATAAAGCTTCTCTATGTTCTCAAAAACATATTCACATTTAAAACAGGAAAAATAATTAAATTTTAACAATTAGTCTGTTCTTTTCAAAAAATCCAATTTTAAAAATTGCTTCAAAAGCATAGCAATCTTTCTTTTCAAATCTTCTACATTATAAAATCTTTGACAGGCACATTTATCTTGCTTCTAGAATAAATCTAAATGTTGTACCTCACAAGCAAGAAAATAAAGTACTCAAGAAGAATAGATTATGATGCCACCTATAAATTGTCAAGAGGTTTTGAGCTTTCAAATGCATAATTTAATGGTATGATAAATATAAGAAGCAAAAGCAAGATGAAGGTCAGGGCGTGAAATAGAGGCACAAGAGAATAGAGAATCGTAATGATGCATGAATCTTGCTGCTTTTCCAAAAGGACTAATGCATCATGGGTGTTTAAGAATATGCTTTTTTGTTATCTAGGATGAAGGTAAAATGCTGCTTCAAAGGATGATCATAAACAATCAAACTGACATGTAACCATTGCTGTGGGACTACCAAAGTGCATATTATATATACTGCCAATCCCTCAATTATAAAACTCTTTGAAAATAGTAACTGGCTTATAGTTCCTCTAAAAAAATCTGATCGTTGTTTTTATTTCTGGTATTACATATGAACACCACAATGTATTTTTAAAAGTGCGTTGGTAACATACTTTTAAAATTACTAAATAACTGAAAGATTTAAATAAATTATGAAAATGTGTTAAATAACCTAAAGTGGAAAAGGTATTTTCAAACTTTCAGATTTTAGAGAACACTTTATTCATGAATACATCAATAATTGAGCAATATCCACTGTAAGACCTTTGCATATTCTGCAGAATATGAGATGTGCTTTAGAGTGCATAGAGCAGCTTCTATTAACAACTCTCTAAATCAATTGGGCCATTATCATCTAGCAACTGATATCTGACAAAGAAAGTGGATTCTATGCACCCTTATTTATCAGCATTGGAAAGGTAAATAAATAGCCCCAACTCTTCAGTATTCTGCAGAATTAATGTTATTAAAAATTTATGAATAATGCATTCTTGATATTGATAGCAATAGATGATTATAATGAAATTGAAATGCTCATTTAGAATAACTCGTAACAAATTTATTCAGTGTAGGATGAAGGCTGTTTACTGAAGATTAGGGAGCACCATCTACCATACCATTGCAGTAAGGTTTGGTAGACAGATGTTTATTTTGACTTCCCAGTAACAGAACGACTGGTCCAAATACACACAGCTGGATTCTGTGACGAAAGAAAGACTAGAATCTGGGTTGTCCTAACTCAGTTTGGCTCCTTAACAGTTACACAGCATTGGTTTCCATGTATGCAAATATACTGTGAATATATACCTTATGCCTTTTTATTTTATTTATTTTTACTTATTTATATCCTGCCTTTATTATTTTTATCAACAACTCAAGATGGCAACCATGCCCAATACTCCTTCTTATTGTTTTCCCCACAACAACCCTGTGAGGTGAGTTGGGCTGAGTGTGTGTGACTGGCCCAAGGTCACCCAGCTGACTTTCATGGCTACGGCAGGAATAGAACTCAGTCTCCTGGTTTCTAGCCTGCTACCTTAACCACTAGACTAAACTGGCTCTTCTTTGTTTGTTTTCATTTCATTCTTGTTTTCTAAATCTGTATGCTGTTTATATTTTTTCTATTTGTTTTTCTATTCAAGAAATAAAAGTGTATACATACATAAACACTTTGCAAAGACTTCTCTGAACAATACAAGGCTGGACAATCAATATTTTAATCAACTACCAGTCCTTAAAGCTTGTCTATCTATACCTCACTATTTGATAAGATCCAGTTTGGAAACTACTTTTAGAGTGACCTTCTGCAGCCATGATCTTCAAATGTGTCCCATTTGCAGTTACCCAAATTCTAAGTCAGCATGGTTCACATAAATCAACTTGAAAACATCAGGTTGGGGAAGGCTGGTCTAAACAGTTTGATTTGTTCATCTGTTACCAAGATTGCAAAGTTTGCATTAACTAGAACCTAAATAAAGGGTTTCAAAAGATTCCACAGAAATATTTCCTTATGGCTTATTTATAAATAAATATAAATATAACTTTTAAAATAAAACAGCAACTAGAAACAGTAACACTATGCTAGAAAATAACAACAGGACAGGGACAAGGCAAGGCAAGGCATGCTATATTTGAGCCCCTTCTAAGCTTTTATTCCCATTTCTCTTCTCTTTTTTATTTTTGTACAAGGGTGTATGTGAAAGAGGAACAGAGTAATAACCTCCACATAGTTGGCAAGGAAAGAAAAGAGAATGGAACAGAAAGCCTGGGTGTGTCATGTAACTGACAAAAGTAAAGTAGTACAACCTGCAGATGTGCAATCACTTGCCAGAAATGATGTTAGCAGATGCAATCTTTTCAAAACAAACACATTAATGGACTAATTGTAAAGGGCACTAGCAAGAAATCTCAAACTTGAAGAAAATGAATATACACCTATATGCTGTAATAAAACCAAGCTTATTGCCTAATTCTGGGTGTTGGCTTTTTCCCCAGCTCCTTTATGTAACTTTATAAACGTTTTATGACATAATCAGATCCTAGTTGCTGAAAGTAAACTGCCTAGGAAATTAATTATACAGCCTTCCAAATTTCACGGGATAAAACTAATTCATGTCAGAAGGAGGAACTTTTATGCCCAAATTCAGAAATCAACTGCAAATAAAAGCCGGGCCTGATCTCCAATAGGAATAACATCATATTTGCTTCCAACAACTGTTGTGCCATTTCAAAAAAAGGAAGACTCGGAGAGCTGTTAGTGGAGAACAGAAGTTTCTGATAGGGATGCTCTAAGTACAGACTTACATCTCTATTGTGCTCCTTCTAAGGAGTATCTGTGCCAACAGAACAGCACAGTAAATGATAATATGATGAATTTCCCCTCTGCATTTCAGACCTCAAGGAGACCAAGACTAATAAAAATTGTTGCCAGGTAATGTTTTGGAGTTAATTCTTGAGACAGAGAGACGTGTGTGTGTGCGCCTGTGTACGTGTGTGCCTTTCTTAAAGGCTTTTCGATTTTCAATCAGTAAGCAAACGGGATAGTTTCCAAGATGATCCAAGCTTTGGATTACAACAATGACTCAGTGTTCTTTCTAAAAGGACAAAAAAACAACTCTAAATTTTCAGGCTAATGGACAGAAACAATACGACATTCTCATTTCCAAGGTTCTTTCACACTTGAGAGAAAAAAAGAACAAATTTACAAAAGCCATGTCATTTGCCCAGAAGCATCTACGCGTCATAGAAGTTTCAAGGAAGAGAGTCAAAACAACTTTGCAGACATGTAATATATTACAAGGCTATGGGAAGATGGTATTTAAAAGGCAGCCTGATTTAACTCATTTCCGCTGAACTTGAAAAGATGTGCCATTTTCTAGGCTGTTTGTTGGTTGGGAAAAAGATATTGAGATTTGCTGACTAGAAACAATTTCCTGTGTCTCAAAAAAATATGGTATCAACATTTCCAGCATTTTAAAACAAAATGCACAATATTCAAGCATGGAACCAACCATCCCAACCATTTTGGATGTATAGTACTTATATATCATTTGGCAAACTTGTAAGATTTCATTTATTTAAAAAAAATGAAGGTGGACTTGGGCCAAACAGGTAATCCTTGACTTATGGCCACAATTGGGATCAGGATTTCCACTGCTAGGCAGGGTGGTTAGGTGAAATGTGCCTGATGTCAACTCTACAAATGCAGCCATTTTTCCAACTCATTTTTGGTTGCTACATAGAATGGAGGGAGGGGGTTGCCCAGGTGCTTTGTTAGTCTAAATAATCTTTTGTCCCGTGGGAATCAAGGTCATCGGCTGCCCCTGAGACTGCAGGCTGGGCGTTGCATAAAAAGCCTGTCAAGAAAGTGTATTGGGGAATGTACCGTAAATGCCGGCGTATAAGACGACTTCTGCGAGCGCTGAAATCGGCGCCAAAGACGGGTGTCGTCTTATACGCCGAGTCGTCTTATACGCCGGAAATACTGGTAGTTTCCGGCGTATAAGACGACGTTCTAGGAATGCGGCCTGGCTATAAAGACGGGGGTCGTCTTATACGCCGGGTCGCCTTGTACGCCGGCATTTACAGTAGTTGATTGCATAGTTATAGGGGTGGGATTTTTTAACTTTGTATTGGGGAATTGTTACATGTGTCTCCAGGGTTGGTTTCACTCTTGACTAATAAACATGTTCTTTGAGGAATTTGCAAGCCTTGGAGTTCTGCTTTATTTGTCTCTGTCTGTCAGAACCTTGACATCTGATTATACAACCTTTTTTGTAATCATTGTTAAGCAAATCACTGTGATTATTAAGTGAATCATGTGGTTGTTAAGTGAATTCAGTTTTCCTCTCCCCCTCTTGACTTTGCTTGTCAGAAGGCAGCTGGAAAGGTCGCAAATGGTCATCACAATGGCAACTGTAAATACATGCTGATTGTCTGAATTCTCATCACATAACAAGACTGTAGGATGCTGCCACAGTCCTAAGTGTAAGACTTAAGCCAGATCTCCAATCCATCTTTAATGAAATGCAACTTGAATCTGGCTTTTTCTCTTTAAGCTATCCCCTTTTTTAAACCAAAAAGACATATTGATATTATAGCAATAACATCACAGCAACTGTCCCCAAAACTGAATTATATTTCAGCTTTGTAAGATTTCAATCTTACAAGCCTTTAGGGAATCCCATCAAAACATGAAAAAAACTTAACAGTAATTCTACTTGACCCTTCTATAAGACAATGTTATATTCAAACTTTCAGATGCTCTTTCAGTGATATTCTCCCCCAAATGAAGCCTCAGGCTCAAGTCAGTTACCTAATATCTGACCATTTACAGCCCGAATGGACAAGAGGACTTCGTTAAAATAATTTCATAGCCAAATTTGTTTATATTCATAACACATGTAATACGTATCTCCTCATAGCATAGCAAACCTGTCCCCATTCTGTCAAAACTGCTCTATCTAAAGTTATAACATTCTAAGTTTTTTGTTTGGACTCTATTAGAAGATGCTTTTGTGTCACTACTGTGTTTTTTTAGGATTTTTGTACTGTTTTGTTGAAAGGAACTCTATTTATAATACAAACTGTTGCAGACAGATGTAGTAAGAATGTAATGTAATGTGAGTTGTTTAATGAAAAGTTACTTAAGAATACCAGACTTTTGAATTTCTGATTTGTGATTTCTAAAATGAATGAAAGGCAAAACAAACACAACTCCATTTATTCTACTTTGGGTAACGTAATGGAGAAATGTATCTGTTTTAATGTCTTCTCATAGGACATTTGATGTTATATTGCATTAATAACCACAATATTACATTCCCCATTACCATGCTTTTGTGACAATTTCTATAAAAAAGAATTCTGCAATACTTATGTAAGTTCGAATGATTACAGATACGCAGAAATAGAAAATGATGTGTGCTTCTTTAAGGAGTTTCCATGTGGGTGTATGTATATGTGTGCATGTGTGTGTGTTCAGAATAAACACTGTTTAAAGGAAGAAAAAACAACTGAAAGAAAACACAAACACTAGTAAAAGCAAGAAGCCAGATCCATCTTTCAGAGAACAGCTCTAAAAATATGGATATGAAATCTATTTGTTACATCTACTAACCATGTTTAAATCTGTGTAATGTATATGACAAAGAATGATGCAAGTGCACACATATTAGTTCCGGGATCATTACCTTTATCAATAGAATGGTTTATTTTAAAGATAATCAATTTTAATCAGTTGCTGTTAATTCATATGCATGTATATATGTATGTATGTATGTTCTGGCTTTATACATACATACATACATACATACATACATACATACATATGTGTGTATGTATGTGTGTATATGTATATATATACATATATATACACACACACACATATATACACACAAACACACACACACACACATATATTTGAATTTCTTTTTTTGTGACAAAGAGTTAAAGAGTTAAATGGGAGACTAGGATGGCCATTTCGAGCTCATTTTGCTCTTATCAGCTAGCTATCCATACACTTTATGGGATTCGAACCTGGGCAGCCTGCATGCTAGGCAATTGTGTCAACCTCCAGGCCACCTCTTTTGTCAGCTGAGCCAAGAGAATATATAGAAAGTTTTTTTTTTCCTTTCCGGTCAGACTGGGTTTTTTGGTTGATACACCTTAGTATTTTGACTGCTATACTGTTATAATCACTTTTGCCTTGCAGCCCCCCAAACTAGGGGCCTTAAGCAGGCTCAAGTCGCTACAGCAATACATTACAAATTCAAATTCCTTTTTTTGTCTGAATAATATATATAAACATTAATGGGGAAAAAAATATCAGCTGCAGCTGAACCAACTAGATTAAGAAGGTAGAGAAGACAGTCTCTGAATGTGTCTATAATTATTTTTTGGTGTACTCTGCCTTTCTGTTGGAGATTGACTTAATTCAGCTTTCCTTTCAGTTACTTTGTTGCATGTTTAAAGTTTTCCTTGCAAAGAAATATTTGTTACATATTAAAAAAAGAGATGCACGCTCACACACATACACAATTAGCTATTGAGGGAATAAAATAAAACATTAAATAAGCAAAAAGATCTGTGTAGAATCTGGATTCTAATATATTTAAAATAAAGTTGGACAAAGAAAGAGGTTTTAGATCAGTTATAACAAAAGACATATTCATTAATAAATTTGGTTAATATTTTGAAAGTCCTTTTGCAAATTTGACTTCTTCTCATCTAATATCTACACCTAATGTAATCCTAATCTTCTTTACTTCTCTTAAATATTTTCCTTACCAATTTTTTTAAAAGCAAGTAACTACCAAACATAAAGGTCTTATAAAAAGGTTTTTACTTACTTTTGTTTATGAACAGAAAGGATATTAAAGCAATTACTTAAAACTCTAAAAATGTTGTAAATGCTATTTTAATACAAACCGTAATGCTTCTATGTCTCCAGCAGGTCAAAATTAAAATAATATAACCTCTGAATATTTGTGTACAAAAGAATTTGACCTCTTTTGAATAAAAAAGAACTATGCTGGATCTACCTAGTTTCTCCAGATGCAGTTAAATTAAACAACAACAAAAAAATAAAAAAGCAGCAGACTGCTGAAATAGGGGGAGACTATATCCAATTTCTAGAATGCAACCCCAACTTGCAGCCAAACCCAGCACTGCACATTAGAATAAAGCAGCAGCAGAAAATAGAAATATAGCTCTCCAGACAGTGGAGTACTTAGAAAAGATACAATACTTACTGCTGGAAGTGGAGAGTTCTTTTGGACTGGATGCCATTGGTTGAGCACACATTTGACAGAGACAGTCTCTTCCATTAAAGGTAACACGGTCTCCTGGAGGAAAAGGACGTCTGGGAAACAAAAGAGGCATTTTAAGGCAAGGCCATCTCTAGGGCTACATTGTCTTTCTCAGCAACTTCCCGTTGCTGCAGCTGCTGTAAAACCAAAGTCTCTTGCAGGAAAAAGGGCCAAAGCATGTTCAAAATGCGGTATTGGCAAAGATAGACATTTGGAGAAAATCCAAACACTAAATGTATCTCAATAAAGAAAAAAATAATAATGATAGGAAAAAAACTGACCAATACATTTTTATTTCAAAGGTTTGTTTGTTTTAAAAAGCCCAGGCCTATGTAAGTGTTTTCATTAGGAAATGAAGCCTGCTCGTTGATAGTTTGAATGCTCAAAGGAAAATCTTTAGAAATTTCTATTATTTTTTTCACTGAAAGTATACGCGATTAGATAGCTCATTTTTGGGCAGTCAATGGAAGCAACAAATTCCAGAATTTAAGCAGTTCTTGGTGTTCTAAACAAGCAGAGAAGGGAATGCAGCTACTGGAGACTATATTAGGTGTTTTCATTACTCAGAGCCAGCTCAGCTATGTTTCTTTAGGAAAAGAAGGGTGAGTTGATTAAAAGTAGATACCGTGGGAACGAACAGATCCTGCAACTACCACAAAAAATTAAATCAGAAATTATGGCATGAGGGAGTTCAGCTTCAATAATAGCAACAAAATCCAGTTCTTCAGAAGGTAGGCAACAGCTAGGAATAAGAATATTTGGCTTGTAACAAGTCAGATCTAGCTGTCCATTACACTGATGGATTGGCTAAAGCTCTGCAGAGTTTCAATGTCTTTTTTTTCCTACAGTGCTATGCAGTGCTCTGTGGAAGGGTAAGGAGGATAATCATTCAAATAAATTTAAATATATGAAAGTATCACACAAATAAAAATACATTTTCCAAGGCACTATTTGTCAAAACATAAACCTAAAGATACTTTCATATTTTTTATTAAAATTACAGATAGAGAATGTAGTGAGAAAAAAGGGACATTCTGCCTCTAAAAATGTTTTTTTCCTCTAAAAGACTAATGGGAACCCCATAAACCTCCATAATCTTATGGAAATTTAGACAAAATTATCTTGACGGTTGACCATGCTGGGTAGGAATAATTTCCTGATCCTGACCAAAGGAGAAACAGCCCCTAGAATCCAGTTATTTCCAAAATGTCTTTTATTAAATGCCGGTACTAGCTAAACAAGAATTATACACTTAGCTTCCATGATCAGGTAAGTTTAGGTATATTCAAGTATATCCAATCTTTATCCTTTTGCAAATGAATAGCTAAAAAAGGAAACACCACAGTGAATTGCATGATCCTATACCTCAGTTATGTACGTACATATACAAACATATATGATCCTCTACCTCAGTTGCATACATACATATACAAACATATATAACTCAACATATCAATAAAAATCAAGTTTTTCTTTTTTGAGTATTTTTTCTTTTTTCTCTAGCATTTATGTTCTTTAAATCTTTGATCTCCTGACATCCATATAGATAAGGTGATAAAGAATGAGGAGAGGGAGGAGGAGGAAGAGGAGGAGGAGGAAGAAGAAGAAGAAATTTTGTTCAGCATTAGTTGACTTACTTGCACATAGTGCAGGCAAAGCAGTTGGGATGATATGTTTTTCCCAGAGCTGTTACAACTTCTCCTTCCACAAACTCCCCACAGCCATTGCATCGGGTCCCATACATCCGCTGGTAATCCACAGTGCAAAGGTAATCACCATTCTTAATGAAAAAGCCTCCTTGAGCCAAATCACACCCACACACTGTGAAAATATAAAAAACAACAACCAAGAACAAATCAGTTTGAACATAAAAAAATACAACTATTTGTAACTGATAATGGAACACAGTTTGTCACCTGTGTTAGTTTTCGAAGCGTATGTAGTGAGGTTAGAAAAGGAAAAGAAGAAAATTAGAAGATGACAAAGAAGTCAGGGAATAATAATAAAAAATTAAGCAATAAACAGAATTTTGATGAACAAAGTGGGCATCAGGAAAGGCAACAAGATGGGTGGTGGAGACTAGACACCTTTCTAAGTAGAAAGTGTTAAAAATAAAAGGAAAACAATTCAAAGGAAAAAAAATCATAATGGATAAAAAGAACAGCAGACTATTTCTAAAGCCTGCAGCTATGACTAAATTAGCAAAGGATAAACATCAAAATTCAAATCAGGTTTCCTTAATCACTATATATTAAAAATTGAAGAACGACAATTCCTGGGTACATACATTTCAATAAAAAAGGAAGCGATCACCAGGAAATAAAACACCAAGGTTTTAATAAATAAAATCAAGCTTTCGATGGCTAGCATCTGCCATCATCGTCAGGATACAAGCTAGCTAGTGAGGAAACCTGCTTATAAGCATAGCCACACCTAAACTCTATGCATGGACCTTGTAACAGGTCCAAGCCGACTAATCCTTACTTCACTTACAGCCTTCAATGATTCTTTCTTATAGCTCTTACTTACAGTCACCTAGCTTTCGATGGTTAGCACCTGCCATCATCGTCAGGATTGGTGGCAAGGATTGTGGGGGGATTGGAGGAGTGACAGGATTGAAGGTGCTAAAAAATGTGAACCGAGACAGAATCCCCAGCATGAAATACTGTGATTATGGAAATGCAAATGAGTACAATGTGTGCCGGAGGAGTGAAGGAGAGAAACGTCCCAATGAACACAGGAAGAAGAATCAACTCAATAGTGCAGAGGACCCTTTAACTTTGAGAAACACACGTTGCCTATATGACTCAGGAACTAAAGGGAGGGGGGAAGTGGGTGGTTGTGTGGATGTAAGTAAGAGCTATAAGAAAGAATCACTGAAGGCTGTAAGTGAAGTAAGGATTAGTCGGCTTGGACCTGTTACAAGGTCCATGCATAGAGTTTAGGTGTGGCTATGCTTATAAGCAGGTTTCCTCACTAGCTAGCTTGTATCCTGACGATGATGGCAGATGCTAGCCATCGAAAGCTTGATTTTATTTATTAAAACCTTGGTGTTTTATTTCCTGGTGATCGCTTCCTTTTTTATTGAAATATATATATAAATATTATATTATATTTCCATCAATTATAAAATAAATCTTTAAATCACTGATTAGTTTTCTGCTCTTTAGTAGATTTGCATGTTTTTTCCCTTAAATGAAAATCAATTTTATTTATTTTCTTGCTGTAAAAAATTAAATTGAATGTATAGACACAGTAAATCTCCTCAGTGGTAGAGAAAGTTTTATCACATGAACTCTACACTTAACAAGAGCATATATGATATTACCAATTTCTAAATATTTATTTGTACAGTAACACTTTTGAACTTCGATTGGAAAAAGTAAAAGCTTGGATTTATTTTCTACTTTATTAGCTTTATCTACAAATAGCTTATGATCAAAATAAAAATATGTAATTGCAAATTAATTTTAACATCCTATTGAAATTGCCCTACTTTTCCTCTCTTTCTTAATACTGATGGCAGAACAAGGTCAACAGAATTTTTTTTTCATGGCTTAAAATCTAAGCAAACAAAGAAGTTGCCTTAGTTGAAATAAATTTATCTGGTTTTCAACCAGTCCCTTTAGTCTGACAGTTACTATTAAAATGTAACACTTTTCGACATTAATGTTAAGATGCCTGCTACATTTAGACTGACTGGTAGCACAGCTTCACCCGGCAGGTTAACACAAAACAGTACCTTGAAATGTTGTTTATTTACATTTGGTTTAATATGCTAAGCAAACAAGGCCACTAAGATTTGCTCAAGTCATGATAGAAAAAAAAAATCCTGGTTCAGATATGACCCAAATCATAACTTATAGTGAATTTCTTGCTTTTTAGCCTGTTATATTTTTGCAATGGAATGACTGCTTTATATTCTACTCACTCTAGCACATGACTCACAAATGCAGCATCTCAAGGTTAAAAGATCACACATTTGCAAGTTTTTTTTTTAAAAAAAATAAAACCTGATACATGATATAATCCTTAATTTAGATGTTTCTGGAAACACTGCACGTGAAGCCAACATTATTCCATAAACAAACTCATAAATAAACAAGAAATTTAAGAAATAAATAAAAAATTTAAGAAATAAATAAGATGATTTTAAATAAATGCAGAGCAAAAGACACTTCTGAATTTTTTTCTGGAGCATATTTAACTTTTCCACCTATTGTGGTACAGAAGAGAGTAACTTTCCAATGGGCACTATGAAAGGATTGTATATTTCAAGTGGTTTACAACACATACATTTCCATTTGTCTCTGGATGCACTGTGCACAGATTTAGAATCACTGGGAATCTTTCTCTGAGATCTTCAACTGCTAAACAAAGGGTCTCCTCTCAGGATTGCAGGACCAACTCTAAAAATGCTCCAAGAATAGCATTCACGAGTTAATGTACCTTTCAGATGTAAACAACTCTCTCTCACACAGAAATTGTACACATGCTCTACATTTTTTTAATGTTCTGCCTCCCCACTGACAAAATGCATACTTCTTCAACATTAGAGATGAAAAATCTAACAAAACGATAAAAAATTTGTGTATCAAATGTGGCTCAAAATTTGGTTTAACAAAAAATGAAATAAATTAAACAGCATGGTTATACACTGAAAATGTAAAAGATGTTTGGTATATAGTATTCAAACTATTATCAACCTATGATTTGTACTCAAGACAATTTCAAGAACACCATGAACATAAACATCTAGTTCTAATAAGTAAATATAGTAATTTGAATCAAACTTTTGTACAACAAAAACATTTGACAATTTGAAGCTCAAAGCCTAAATATAAACTCTGTTCAGTGATATATCACATGTTTTAATTGTCTATAAACAAAGATCCCAGATACAATCAATTCCATCTCTTCCTAGTAGGGATGGGACCATTCCTATCTTGATACTGAGGATAATTTCTGTCAGAACGATGATCTGACTGAAAACAAAGGTGTGTCCTATGAATTTAATCTATTATTTTGGACTACATTTGAAAAGGTCATTTGAATTGCTCTGCATATTTGCTGAGTTTATTGCAGTAGGAAAAATAGCTATCCACATGGAAATAAGAGATGCATACCACTAGGAATGTATTTTCCTCAAATCTCCTGAGCAAGCGGCAAAACGCTATAAATGCTATATTTATATCATATCACTATGTTACATTATGTTATCAATGACAGCATTATCCCTATCACAATTACAAGCATATATAACAGACATATGAAACTCGTACTGTCACATGACATCACGCAATATATCGGGACAGTTTTGCCATTGCCAGCAATGGGGTGGGCGCAGCTTCCGCATGATGCATCTGGCCTGAGGGCTGGCAGTTTGACACTCCTGATATATAACAAATAACTTGAAAAAATGATAATTTAAAAACTGCAATAAAATTAATAAAAGAACTATCCATTTCTAATTTCCAATTCATCCACAGCACTATTATTTTTGGATTACTTAAAATGACCATTCTTCAATGTACGGTCTCTTCTCAATTTTATTGATATAATTTTTACTGAGTATTATGAGCCTCTCATTGAAAAAAAACCAAGCTCCTAAAAAGGCTATTATTGTATAAAAACAAAATTAAATTAAGATTTACATATGCATCATCAGTGGAAGAACAATAATGTACATTAACCTTTCAGATGTAAACAACTCTCTCACACAGATAAATTGTATACACACAATTTCTTATTATGGCCTATTACATATGACCTTCCTTCTGGTCATAAAACATTCACTCAAGGTATGTCTTCCTGAAAGTCAGTCCTATGGTGAAAATCACAGCATGAAAGAAAGCTATATTGGGACATATAAAGTAGGCAGGTCATGTTACACTAAGGACAAGCAACCTTGTTTAACTGATTTTTTTTCTAATAATTTGGAATTATGCAAATAGAAAACCCAAACTCAATAAACAATATCCTAGGCTAGGGCTCAAAAGGTTAAAAATAGTGGATGGATCAAAAAAAAAGAAAGAAAGAAAGAAAAGAAAAGAATTTTTTTTCTGAGTATTTTCTTCCTTCCTCACATGAACCCAATAGCTTGAATGGTAATCAAAATAAATAGCAGGAGCAAATATTGTTATTTGGGCGTAATGATCTCCAAAATGTAGACTATGATGTAGTGGTTAAGGGAGTTGGACTATGACTGGCAGGATCGAATTCGTTTTCAGCCATGAAAAAATAATGGACTATATGGATAAGTTTGGGGAACAACAGGAAGCCTAAGAAAAAAATCTGACAAGAGAAACAGAAGTTACCAATGGATTAACAGTCAAAGAAGAAATACTGGAAGGACCCACTAAATGTTCAGGTGGTTAAAAGCAATGGCAGATAGTTTGTACCTTCAGACTTGCAAGATTCTGTTAATGTTGCCTTATAAATAAAATAAAATTGACTCATATAGGCATGATTCCCATCTCATTTACCTGGAGGTTTCCTATCTGATTTAGGGGAGGTGCTCACTTTGTTTTTTTCCTGAGATATAACAATAACCAAATTCTGTGTCTTTTTCTGATATGTTAACTGAACTATCTGTCCTTAAAGTAAATGTTGTTTTATCATTATTCAATTGTTGTTGGAATACTGAAATTCAGTCACTCTGAGAATTTTTAATGGCAAATGTGAAGTTTTGAGGGGAAGAAAACAATTGTATGTATATGGTTAATTTGAAAGCAGAGATAATTTTAAATTATGGAAGTAACAGAAAGAAACAAAAAGACTGATATGGAAAACTGCTCTCAAATGATAATTTGTCATTTGTC